CATGGCATGGCAAACACCCAGACCCTGACAAAATGCCTCGTAGGCGACCCCACTCTTATTCATCCCTTTCTCACTGAAATCGGCAAGGAGAGACGGAATTCGGCTGGTGGGGACTTGAACACAGGCGCTGCAGCCTTGCACCTCGCCATCCGCTGCGCCTCCGGTGAGTACACTGCAGTCTGCGAAACCATCACCTAATCTGATCACGAATTCTGTCTGCAGTGGAGACTGTACAACTCCTCTTGTCGCACAGGGCTATTTCGCCGAACGGTACACACCCACCTGGAAGCGGTACTACTGCCCTCCACCTCGCGGCATCGCTCGAGCGCGTTGAAATCGTATCTCTTCTTCTCGATCAACCAGGGATAGACGATACCCTCCGTGACAGCCAGGGACGTACATGCAAAGATGTAGCAAAACGAAACGAAACGATCAAGGTCTTGCAGGGTAGGCTGGCTCGTTCTAGATCCTTCGTTATATCCCTCATTCTCTTCAGATTCGCGGTCTTTCCTGAGTGCATCATACAGGTCATTGCTGCACTCATACGCACTCTCACCTTCTAATACGCAGCCAAGTCACGCACTTGCGTCGCTGTTGGAATCACCACGCGCCAAGGGAATTGATCTTTCCTACCTCGACGATACGACTGGGACCTCACTTTTACATGAGGCAGCACGTCGGAAGGACTTGCGGTTAATCGAGCTTGCTGTCCGTGCGGGAGCAGACGTGTTTGTTCGAGATCGGAGAGGAAAGATGGCTTATGATGGGTCAGGCAAAGACGATCGCGTGAGGGTATTCTTACGTCAATGTAAGTTCCTACATCCATCTTTTCCAAGTCTCTTCTGAAGAACTACAGTCGCGAATCACGATCAGTCGTTGATCGATGTACCGATCTCTGAGCCGCCTGTCTTAAAGGGTTACCTGAACAAGTATGCCAACGTTGCCAAAGGGTATAACACTCGGTGGTTTGTCCTCAAAGATGGCGTCCTTTCATGTTCGTATCAACATACTGCCGCCATGGCCTGCCTTTGATATCTTGTCGCGCAGATTATAGGCACCAGGAAGATGAGGAGATTGCCAGTCGAGGCGCGATCTCCATGAAAACGGCAATTCTTAAAATTGGCACGGGCAACGAGAAAACGCGTTTTGAAGTCTGCTCCGCACCGGGGCGTGGTCATACAACAGGTGTACAAAAATGGTACATGCGAGCGAACCACCCCGTAGAAGCTGCACGGTGGACACAAGCAATCAGCAAGAGTATGGAGTGGTACCGACGCGAAGCGGATAAAAGCATTGGAGGGAGACGGAGCATGGAGAGTGACAGGAGTGTCTTACGGGCAGCGAAGATCCGGACTAGCTTCCAGTCGGGGGTATCTGCAATGAGAGAACTTGGGACACATAGTCTGCGGGGAGACCAAGCGTCTCTAATATGCACAGCGGAGGACGACGCGGTAATAGTCGGCGACATCTCCAAGGACAGTATACACGCTCCTGACGAGGAAGAGGAAGAAGAGGCGGCGGATCGACACGACAGTTCGGCAGCATCAGAATCGACACAGAGTCAGCCTCCTCACTGCAGTACCTTCGACTTACACGGGAACTCGGTTGCGGCACAGATGGACCTCACTGCACACCTCCTTGCCGGATTGCCCTTACCATCAGACGCGCCTTTACGCACGCAAGAACTTCGAGAAGCCCTGAAGGAGTCTTTCACCGCGGTCCAGTCGATGATAAACGAGTACGTCCAAATGGTAAAAGAAAGAGAAGAATGGTGGAAGTCGCAACTCCAGCGGGAGCGCGAACGACAAACAATATGGGAGGAAAGCTTGCAAACGGTCGTTCGCGAAGGAGAAGCACTTGAGAGAGAGCTTCGAGCTCGCTCTCGCAAACGCGGAAGCAGATTCTTTGATGCAGGAATGCAGGACGCGGGGTCTGCGACTGTAAGGCAACGACCCATCTCCTTAACTGCCTCGTCATCCGCCGTGCTTTCGGCTCAACCTTCTACCTACTTCACAGCGATGGAAACGCCTCGCGTTTCGTTAGCCACCATCCCTACCAACGACACCCCCCAGTCCCCAGTACTTTTAACTCCTACCCAGCGCAGGATATCTCGATTAACGCTGCCTTCCTGCGAGCCAAACGAGACAGATGACATGCACGACACAGATGAAGAAGACGAATTCTTTGATGCTATCGAGTCGGGTAATCTCCCGAACCTCGTTGTCAGCGAGCTTCTCACCAGCCCCACGCACTCCACAACTTCATTGCCGCTTGCCATAAACATGGAGCCGTTCTTGGGATACAAATATCTGAGGACCGAGTTGTCCATCGAGAAGGACAACAGGCCATCTACTAGTCTTTGGTCTGTTTTGAAGCACAGCATTGGGAAAGACTTGACAAGGATTACTTTTCCCGTATTTTTCAACGAACCCACGAGCATGCTTCAGCGAATGGTAGGTGGGGCCTCTTGTACAATTCAGCGAACTCACACCAAGTGTAGGCCGAAGACATGGAATTTTCTGAGTGTCGTGAGTGTTCTAGCTGTTTGACGATTTCATTCGTTTATGCATCTATCCGCAGTCGACGTGGCCGTTCGGGAGCAAGACCCACATCGACGTATAGCATTCGTCGCCGCTTTTGCCATGTCTAATTATTCATCAACTATCGGACGTATAGCAAAGCCATTCAATCCTATGCTTGTAAGGAAGTTAGGTCATTTGTACCGAGTATGTGCTGACCTTTCCACAAGAATGAGACATTCGAGTATGTAAGATTAGACAAAGAATACCGATATATGTCCGAGCAAGTCAGCCATCATCCTCCTATTTCCGCTTGCTGGGCTGAATCTCCGAATTGGCATTATTACGGCGAAGTATGCTCTTGACGTTAGGCAGATAAAAAACATGATTGATCACTCTATAGGTTGATGCTCAAAATAGATTTATGGGGAAGTCCTTCGAGATCCGACCCACTGGCGTTGCGCATGCAGAATTACTGCTACCTGAAGAATGGGCACCAAAATACCCTATAGCAACAACCGTTGGCGGGAAGGGAAAGGTAGTGGAGCACTACTCATGGAAAAAAGTCACTACCAACGTCTCCGGCTTCATTCTGGGGTCTCCTACCATTGACCATTATGGTGACATGATTGTAAGTTCCCGATGGCATTTCAAACCGAGCATTACCATTACTAAGTTTGACCGAATCTAGGTCACAAATCATCGTACCGGAGATCGATGTATCCTAACCTTTAAGCCTCGAGGGTGGCGAGGCAAGGATGCATACGAGATTTCGGGATCCGTCAGCAACTCGGACGGCGAGATCACCTATGAAATCGCTGGACGCTGGAACAGTCAGCTCATCTGTCGCGCAGTCGGTACCGGAAGTGGATATCTGCACCCCGACGCGGCCGTCAGCTGCCCAGCGTCCCCGAATTACATGGCAGAGTACATTTTACTGTGGAGAAACTCTGAAAAACCGCCAACGCCGTTTAACCTCACGCCGTTTGCAATCACACTCAACGATTGTCCAGAGAACACGCTCAAGCCGTTCCTGTGCCCTACCGACTGTCGCCTTCGGCCTGATCAACGCGCGTTCGAGATGGGCAGGTATGAACGCGCGAATGAACTAAAGCAGAGGCAAGAGGAAAATCAACGGGCGACGCGACGCGCGAGGGAGGATGGCAGGCTACCGCCCCATCGACCGAGATGGTTTACTGCGGAGACGGATGGCGATACGGGAGATCGTGTGTGGACGCCTTCACGTGTGGACGATGTGCTCGAGTATTGGGTGGAACGGGAGAGGGTGTGGAAGGAGGGTGGCAACATGCCTTGGAAGGATGTAGACCCCATTTTCATCGAAAACATACCCTAGGTTGGTTTTGGATTCATTTTCTGTCTTGTTCACTGATTACTCTGGGAAAATTAGACTAGATTTGATTACCGTGGTTACAACCTAATACTATTGTTTACCAGCACGCTCATCGCTAAGCTCTGCGTGGGTCTCGTTGAGGCTGGCTCGACCCCGGGGTGAGAAACGCTGAGCTTGGAGCCCTTTACGCTTCGTTTGCCCAATACGGTGCGTTCAAGGAGTTGAATGACGCCAGTGAACCTGCGGCTGCATGTGCAGGGAGAGTTAGGGCTCAACATCGTTCTTCTTCGATTACCATCCGAGTTACCTGAGGAGCACTCTCGCAGGCGTTTTCATCCAGGTCGAACTTTAAAAGTCGTCGTCACTGCCAACAATTACACCGATCGTGAATGTACAACCTTCTCGTTTTCATCTAAAGCAAGAGGGATGCGAAATATCTTCGCTGCATGCGAGTGTCTCGCAGGTATAATCTGCAGAACGCCTCTGCAGGACGATCCTGCGACCGACTCGGACAAGAGACTGAAGAGGTTTGACTTCGGGGTAGTGGACCGCCGCAGATGCGCCGGTGCTTTGAGACCTTGGATCAGATGGGCAAGTTACTCCAGGAGGATGTGTTTTCGCGGACGCTCGCTACCAGGCTTGAGTCAAGAAGTACAGTGAGCAGACTGATTTAGTCTCCTCACCAGAGATTGTCTTTCCTGCCGGCATAGTGACCTCATCGAACGTGCAATCCCTTTTCGCCGTTTCGGACATCAGGCTAGCACCCGTGTCGTACTATCGATGATGGTGCTGGCGCCTACGGTATAATTACTCTGGGTGAGCACTGAAGTATGAGTTTATTAGCCCATACTTGCTGCAAACAGACGGGGTAAATTCCAATTCCAAGTTCGGGTGACATCGCAAGGAGGTATGGTTGGGTTTCCTACAAGAGAGCTGAAAAGTGTAACAAGAGAACTACTCACGCACGTCGTTAAATTGGTTGTTGAACCCACTGCAACGTTTACTTCGATACGTTCTTCTATCCCGTGTTACTGTCTGGGCCATCTTTTGGTTTGCCAATTGAAACACGGTACTACTAGTACCGTCGCCAGTCCTAGACTCAAAATTTGCAACTCATTTTGATCTCCGTCGCCCTGATGGCTCAGTTGGCTAGAGCGCAGGTCTCATACTAATCCGTATGACCAGGTGACAACTCCTGGGCAATCCTGAGGTCGCAAGTTCGAGCCTTGCTCAGGGCAGTTGTTTTCTTTTTGTGGAACATCCGATTCCCTCAGCAATCGCCAAGTACATCTTCGTGGCTCATTCCCAACCCAGAAGCCGAGGACAAAACGCAGTTCGAAAAGAAATTGAAACGTGCACCGCCGGAGCGTGATGATAACGAAGCATGTACCAGACGCAAGCGTTGAGGGATGATTGGAATGACTCTCCGCCGCCTCACCAATGTCATGTTTGTAAACGGGAAAGACTTCGTGTAACGTGTTTGACGCGTCTGAGACAGTTTAGTAGACTGTGACAGTCGAGGTTGTGATGCACGCACTGTCAGAGTCTGGTACTCTGGACTCAACAACACAAGACCTCTGAGAGCACACAAGAAAGTCGTTAACAAAGTAAACATTGTCACGAACCTCGAAGTGGATTCTCAGGGTCCTTGCACGCAAGGCGTCTTCGGGGCGTCAACTAAATCCAGAAACTCCCCATGTCCCCAACAAAGGCGCACATGCTATCCTTAAATTCGCTCCACGCCTCGTTCCCTGTGGCGACAGGTCAGGTCCATCTCCGCCTCCATCATTTGCATGTCGATCGCATGAGGTCTGACTTGCGCCCGTGTGAACGGGTGACATCCAATGAGCACGGTGAGGGAGGTCCTGTATGATAGATAGTATGAGCGCGGTCATATAAAACAGCGCGCAGGTGGAATGTCATTACAAGCCCATAGAAGACACGAAGTGCCGCATACCGTCAATACACTCGTGATATCCTGCTCCTGGTAGTTCTGGTTGACCGAACAAGACCGCTGTCTGCAATGCAATGTCTCTCTTCCGTATTCCCCAAGGGGCCACAAAGGAGAAGCCCACGCTAACTTCAGACGCCGCGACATCCGTCACCAACGCATCGTCATTAAACAGCACCCAAGCTCATTCCCTATCCGGAACCACTCCCGTCGCACTCGGCGATGGCGGCAATCGTAATGTCCAAAATGCACACTTGGTGCCTTGTCTGAGATGAGCGCCTTCAGTCAAAGTGTTGCAGAAAGCGCCGCTGAACTAGTGTATCTCTCCTGCGACGTGATGAGCCGTCGATGCATCTCGGACACAGACGTGCTTACCTGGTGGCCTGACTCTCGGCTGATGGTTATACTGTCTGAGTACAGTGAGAAAATGCCCAAAGAACTCTTCTGTATCTTGTTACGACATCTGACCCAGTAAGCTTGAGTCTACCAAGAATGTAGTGTCAGGGAGCGTCGACCGGAAGGATCGAGATCGCTTGCGAGTTCTGACATAAACCGGGGCCAGGTAGTATAGCTGCGCATCCCCCAATTGTACCGCATTGAGTCGATGGTCGGCGGCAAGGCTATTACAGTGGCTGTGCGAGATGTTGACCCTTTCGACGACGCGTTGAGTTAAGACCACAAGACTGCCACAACGCGACTGAAAGTAACAACTAGGTACGTGAACTGGCGGCCATCTTGCAGACCTTTGCAACCCGTACTGACGTGTTATCTTTTTGAATGTTCAGTTGAACGTTCCGCTACCATGGCCAACACTACCACCGTCAGCACGCCGCAGAAATCACGGCCGCAAATGCTTCCCCCGGATACGCGACCAGTTGAGCGCTTCACTTCACAGAGCGACTATCTCACGGGCCCGGGGACCTGTCTCTAGGACGCCAAGCGGTCCTCAAGGACCTCCGCAGGTATCTCCAGGTCCCGTACACCACTCTTATACTTTCGGCGTTCGGTGCCCCCGCCGATATTTCGCGAATCCGCCAGAAGTTGACGCGGGACCATATTTTGAAAACGGAGGGCGCAAAATCACAATGGGTCGGGTTTGCCCCACCTACCCGATCAATACAAGTTCGAGATCGGGAATCGGTTTTATACCACGACGCGTCCGCTCGCTACGTATGGTGCAGATGCGATGGTCGGGCGCGGCACCCGGGTGTACGAAGCACTGGATAAGGAAGG